AGAGAGAGAGAGAGAGAGAGAGTAGTCCATCTTGTCCTTGCCCCTTTGGAGAGTCAGCCTTTGAGAAACAATGGAAGCAGAGGAGACTACGTTCGAAGAAGATGACCATTGAGTGGTAGGATTTTGGTTTGTCGGGGATTTATAGGGAATGGTGCATGCCAAACTTGTGTCATGGCCTAAAGATGTAGTGAGAGGGACTTGCCTTAGTAATGAAGCGCTTTGACGAGCCCCGTCATTAGCATCAAGGTAGCCGCCCAATGCTTCTAATGCCCCAACATCATCCTCGAGGTGCTTAATTCCTCTAGATCAAAATCCCATCCTTGAGGTGGTCATCATCATAAGGACCTTAATTCCTCTACTTGAAGAATCTTGATATTAGAACACGAGGAACCCTGTTGTAAACAAACTTAAACCTCGATTTCCTTAACCAAAGAAAACCGTACTAGCTCTACTTGACAACCTCGTTTTATGGATGGTGGGGCTTAGATTCATGCTAGTTAAAACCTCGAACCCATTGACATGGGATCTTACTCCCATAAACCTAAGGATCTCGTTCCCTATCTTGTTCATTGTATGAATGCCGATCCAACCTCAGGGAGCTCCCGCGATAGGGCGGTTCAGCGATTCCTGAACTAATCCCAATCCTGTTTTCGCCTCCAACAACTATGATTTAGACCCAACGGGTCGAATCCAGATCTAAATGTTGTATCTGACTTACTGTTCGGATCAGATCCGGGTCCAAATGTTTGCATCTGAATTACTGTTCGGATCTGAATCTCTGTGCCAAGCCACCATTGCAATTGGAACTGGAGGTGTAATGGGGTTTGGCCAAAAGCTACCTATGCCAACAAATTTGATGGTGACTCAAGCTTTTGATCCAAATTTTGGTGCACCAATGGGTAGCTTAGGTTTCAGGGGTGATTTAATGGCTGCTCAGCCTCCATATCTAGGAACATTTCAAGGGGTTGGCAATGTCGGTTTTCTAAGAGTAGCTGCACACTTAAAAATGCGTTTCTTGGTCGTGGAATGGGAAGTACTGCGATGGTTTTGCCTAGTGTTAGAAAAAAACGGATCGGTGACCCGAATCGGTCACACCCATTTTCGTGCCGGATCGGAAAATCGGTGGATCGGATTGGAGAATCGGCTGAATCAGCAATTTTTGTCCCAATTGTTTTTCAAAAAATCACTATAAATCTCTAAAAATTGTGTTCTTTTATTTTCTGAAAGAAATTACAAGGGGCGCATTATGTACTTTCTAAAAATAGGTGAATACTGAGAGTCTGAGACGCTCTTTTCCTGTTTGGATGTCTGTTGTATTAACCATTCATTCATATTACTAAAAAACAGAGCCTATAATAATCAAGGATAGAAATATAGAGTCCAAATAGAGTTGTATAAAACCCCTCTCTAGATATGTGGCCTGCGTAACTGGTTGTCACTTTGGGATCTCAAAGCCTAGATCCAAATGGGCCAGGCTTGGGATTCATCCACCAACTTACATTTTATCAATGTTTGAGGTGTTGCAAATATGAACGAAATGGACACATCAATCAAAGAAGAGAAAACACGAATAAATTAATAATGCGTAGAGAAATTGCTCAAAATGTTAAGCTCCCAATAATTTGATTTTTGTTCCATTAGGATCATTTTGCTCATTTCAGCTGTATATTGAAAGTTTGAAACTAGGAAAAAAATATAAGAAACAATGGTGTTTAGTTTATCTATTATTGTTCCATTTTGTAATTACTGGGAACCGCTTTATTTTTATAATGAGCACCCATCCTATGGGTAGCCTCTCTTTCTTAGTCATAAGTTAACAATCCTCTATACTGAAGTCAACAGTTGAAAAAAAAGAAAATAAAGAATACTGAGAACAGCTTTGAATTTCTTAATAATCTTGTCCTTGTCTATGCTCTGAGAAGTACAATGACCCAAGTGTTTCCATTTCTTTGGGGTTTGAGGGTTTACATGTGAGCATGGATTGGAGCTCTTGTCTAGGATTCAAGGTTGGGTTTGAATCTCATGTCTACCAAAGGTAAAAAGTACCTTGGGATTTTAATTGTCTGTCTCTGTCTTAATGTCCTACGCCCCAGACACATGCTTTGTAAAATAAGGGAAAAGGAAGACATGCTTTAAGGAAGGACATGCTTAACATATGCCCATCTGTAAAACCCGTGGTCCAAATTCCTTCATATCTGGGCTTATTTACTTGTCATTTTGCAGGGCACTGGTCTCAAGATGAGTATCAAAAGTTATTCGATTTGGTCAATGCGGATTTGGAAAAAAATGTCCACAGGGAAAAAAATACGAAATATGGCATGGTTCGCATACTCTTCTTCAATTTTGCCTTTTTAAGTTTGTCTCAGTATATAGCTTTTCCTCTATGATAATAATGGCAATACTAGGCTTTTATTACATTCTTTTCTTTGTTGTTTCTTGAGGCAGTTGCGAGATAATATATCTTGGGGAGCGATTAGCGATGAACTTTCTACTCGAAGTATGTGCTTTTGTTGTGACAAATGGTTTGTATTCTCACTTCAAAAGTAGCATTTTGTTATATGCATTTTGCCTCCGTAAACTTTTGCTTAATGGAAGGATGAGAGGGTGTACCTTTGTATGATTGATGATGGTACAGAACCATGGCATCTACCATTGGTTCTCAGTATTGGACCGTGGAGATAAATAACTATACGTGCGTGAATCCGTGGACTATGGTCAATCTCCACCATCCAACATTTAGAATAGGTGGTAGATGGCCCATCTCTGTCCCAAATTCGTTAAACCAGCTGTATATGTGATATACTTTCTGTGGAAATAGTAGATGATATTCTAGCTTATGCTAGTTCATCTGATAATTTATTTTTCTTTTACCTTGATTATCTTTCCAGGTATGATCAGTTGGTGTCTCGCATGGTAAAAGATGGGATTTGGGATAATGCAGATGATCAGAGATTGCTCAAAGGGTACTGTTTTTCATTTCTGTGGATTCTGTTCACCGTTTTTTATTTGTGTTGTACCTGTGTCCGGGTGACACATCTTAGTCTGTGATATTTGCCAATGAAAACCTACCCAATATTAAAAAGGATCGCTGAGCAAACTTGTGAGCTGCCCTAGCTCAAATCAGGAACCTGGTGAGTCTGAACTCTGAATGCAAAACCCATGGACTCGTCCCAAGTCTTACCATATTTTGACATTATCAATTCTTTTATAGACATGGCCAAGTCAAGTTGGGTGACACGGGCTTGGGATCCTAGCAAGTTATGACTTGAGTCTGGTTCTTAAAAGCTGGGTGACTCAGGCTTAGCGTGGGGTTCTTCTTTGAAATTTGAATTATCAATCATTTGAATCAGAGACTTATTGACTAACTGGTAGGAGGAAATAATTTGTACCAGCCAGTGTTCGCAAAACTGGGCGATCTAATCGTTAACCGCCCGGTTAGATCAGAACCGGTTTTGGGCGGTTTTGGTTATCAACTGATATTTAGAAGAAAAAAATTCAAAAAAATCTATATAAATTACAAAAAATATGGAATTTGATTGGTTATGCATTTTTTAATATTCTTGATATTATGGTAAAGATTAAAAATTGTTTTGGTCATTAATACTCACTTTTAATCATTATTTATATGCTTTTCGTGTTTTGTTTTAATCATTATTTATATGCTTTTCGTGTTTTAGTATATTTTTTTTTTGTTTCTTTTTTATTTTTTTCAACACCTTTTTGACCGCCCGGAACTTGCCAGGTTAGAGCGGTTGAATCGGCTGGTTAGGCCGGTTAAACCGCTTCTGGGCCCATGTCCAGTTAACCGTTCCGGTTCAATTTTGCAAACACTGATTTGTACAGATAAAAAGGATGGATAGGATAGACCAATAACTTTTATTTGTTTCGCTAACTTTTCATACTTAAATTGTAGACTTTTGGAGTCAAATGCTTGTTGTGTGGAAGAAGTCGATTGGGATGATCTTATAGAGAACAGGTACCGACCACTGGTTTTCTTCATGCTTGTTGAGAGAGATTCATACTTGTTGAGAGAGAGAGAGAGAGAGAGAGAGAGAGAGCATGGCAGTGGTGTTCTTGTATTTCAATGATACTTGGCTTTGGTTCATCTTGAAAGCGGTACACTTCTTTATAGATGTGTTTGAGTGAATTTTAATTTTATGTTTTGCAGGGATGGCCAAACTTGTCGTAGACGTTGGCAACAGATGACGAAACACATTGGGAAGAATCGGATTAAACCATTCCTAGAGCAAGTACACCTTCTTGCGAGCCGATATTCTCCTAAGCTATTGGAGGACCCAATTGTTTGAGAAATCTCCCTCTCTCTGTTTGAGAATTCTCCCTCTCTTTCTCACATGTTACATGTGTATGAAATTCTAATATGTGGATTCATGTGCTCAAACACACACACACTCATGTTAGATGCAATAACAAATGCGAATTTGTGTTAATGTGCTCAAGCACGAGCAGATGTGTGCGTTTTTCAAATTCTCCCGATAGTGGAATGAGTAATGTACATTTTCGGATGAGAGCATATTATCAACTGTAAATTTATTTATCTATGTGCTCAAATATAAGTACCTGGACGCTTCTCTCTCTCTAGATGTGTATCAAACTAAATTGCAAATAATTTTTATTCGTTTCGCAAATTTTTGGGACTTTCAAATGAAGGCGATCCACATTTTCTTGCCAAAAAAAAGAAGAAAAAAGGGATTAGGTATATTTCAACACGCATATGCAGAGCTTCCATGTACCATATTGGCGTGATGATCGATACTCAGTACGAGCTTTGATTTGGTTAGTCTAGGTTCTAAGACATGAGAGGGAGAGATGGCCACCTCCCGCTTCTTAGATAATCCGTTGAGAGAGAGTATGGTCAGCAAGTATCTGTTTAAAACATCTTTTTTTCAAAAAATTTCTTATTTTCCAAAATACGTTTAGAACTCTGAGTTTGTTTTTTTTAAAGGTCTTCAAAAAATCATTTTTTTTTTTATTGTCTTTTTTCCAAAAGACTTTTAAAAAGAACTTCTTCCCTAGGATTTTATTTATTCATTAATTTAATATAATTGAATTTCGGTTTAAAGATAAATACATTAAACAGTGGGAACAAATTAAGAATATTGATTTAACAAAGTATTTTATATGGAAAATTGTTTCATGCTAACTGGACCACATTTCGACGTATGCGGTCTAACAAATGTAAAGCATGTATTTTAAAGATGGATGCAAGTCGGTATTTTATCTAAAAACAATAAAAATTAATGGTTCAAATGTTTTATAATTAGAATTATTATTTTTAGTTTTGAAAATTTATTTATTTTTTCATTTTTATGATTTTCATGTAAGAGAATACATATACTTAAAAATTAAATCTTAAAATCTATCTCGAAAATAGATTTATCAAGAGGCCCGCATTACGTGGGGTTGGCCGTATAAAAACCGGGTCCATCCAATGGGGGTTTTTTATTTATTTTTAATTTTTTTTAAAATAATCGTTTACCTTGGTTTCACCGTTCTTGTCGGTTGCGTGCTCTCGGGAAATCTACGATATGTTCGGTGATAGAGCAACCAAAGTCAGCGCGAGACTTCTCTCCAACAAAAACCATTGTGCTCACTTCTCTCTGCTACTGTGCGCCGTTGCTCTCCGCCCGCATTCTCTCTCTCACGCCAGGACCACAGGTACTCTTCCTCCTTGGATGTTTTAGGTCAAATCTCTCTCCCTATTGTTATGGTCTTTGTCCTGCACGCTCTCTTCCTCATCCCACACGCCACACCCTCTTTCTCTCTATCTTTCTCATCCCAAATGCCATACGCTCATATCTCTCTTTCCCTCAATCTAGTGTTCTGTCTTTTTTTCCCCCTATTTCTCTCCTCATTTGTAGGCCCATAAATTCTATCAAACCAGAGGAGGAGGAGAAAATCCCATAAAAAATCGAAGAAAAGACACACTGGTTCAATATGTGGTTTTGATTAGAGACCTCATTGATTCATGGCTTCTTGGTAGTGTAGTAACTCTGGGTTGCCACGCCTCTGTTTTAGCCATATAGTGTTCAGAGACGACCCATTAACCAGTCCATATTGTGGCCCTGATATTTGATCATATGCATAAGGCCTCTCTCTATAACATTTCCCATCTTTGACATACGCACTCTCTCTATAATCCTTCTCTTAATGTCTCTCTCTATAACAGGTTCGCCGAGCTCTGTGAAAGGTTTATGATTTCTGTGATATGGTTTCTCAAGTAGTGTGATTTATTATGAATATCAGTGGCTAGTTCAAAGTACTTGATTGTGGTGAAGTTATTAGTGTTTTTGGCATTAAATTTGAATTTTTTTGGAGAATTTTAGGGTTCTAAGATTTATGATAAGTTTTATGAATTTGTCTAATTTGTGCCCGCAAGAAAAAAAAACTGTTTTTGTTGCTTATTGGGAGTAATCCGATAATTTATCATTGAGTGTTTTTGTACATTATCAAAATTGAGTCCAAATGTTTGTTGATGATACACAGAATAGAGCTTCAATCACCTTCTAATCTTTGATATATTAACTCTTAATTCAATCACCTTCTAATCTTTGATATTGGTTTCTTTGGGATGCAAGAACGGGACAGTGATAGAGAAAATTTGTGAACTATCAACAAGGAAAGAATAGAAAAAATGGTAGTGCATTTTCCTTATGTTTTGTGGAATAAATAAGTAGTATAACTTTGGATATTTAGTAAAATGAAAATTTGAGCTGGGCCTCATGCCCCAATTGTGACCTCCATCTACAAAAAAGATAAATGGTCTCTTTATAGACAATTTTTTTTTTTCTTTTTGAGTTTGGGAGAAAAATTAAGTATTTGCATCGGTATTCAGCTTAGCGGTAGACATTTTAGTTTGGGCAAAGAAGGTCAAGGATTTAGATCCTTCAAGGGGACGGTGGAAAAAAAGAAGAAGAGGCACATATGACTTACCCTTTTTTAAGAAGTGGATAATTAGACCTTTATTTATTTATTTATTTTAAGAATCAGATTTAGGCTCGAGTTGCTAGTACATTAGTAATGTTTAATTTCAAGTTCGATTCCTGCCAATAAGTTACCCCAAAAAAATTGAGTGTTTGTCATTTTATAACTGAAAATCTTTGTGATGGCCTGAAAATTTATTTTTATATCCAACTATAATATTTAAAGCTTCAAAAATAGTGTCGATTGAGCAGATTTACAACTACTGAAAATCTTGAAAATTGACGGCCTAGAAAATGTATTACAAGATGCACTATTTTGAAGGCTTGAAATTTGTTTTTTCTCATGTCCAAACATCTTGAGGTCGAGATGATCAATTTGAGAATTTTTGGGCATCAAAACAACCTCTTCTAGTGAGTTTTGGACGTGCCCCTTAGTTTGAGTGTTTAGGGCCCCACGCCCTCACCCTTATATAAACTTTTTTCCTTTTGTAATTCGATAAAAGATGGGCTTCAATGTGTAAATTGGAATTGCAAATGCATAAAATTGCAAAATTTTGAGAACAGTGATAGTTTGTCATTTAAAGGAAGTGAATGGTGTAGTTTAATTTAAACAAGGAAATAAGGGGTGGTTTGTCATCCTTCCTCGTAAGTCTCAGAGCTTAGGTTACAAGTTCTAAAGCGCCAAGTTCCAAAAACTCGCACGTTCCCCCTCTCTATTTGTTTTTTCACGAATAACCAGGTAAGTATATATTCTTCTTTTGTTGCATCAACTTGAGTCATATCATTGCTTCATTTTGCACCATTTTTTACTAATAGATCTTGAGTTCCTCATTAAGAATTTTCTCTGCAAATTAGGTTACTTTTTTTCTGCTTTTGCCTAAGCTTGTCACCAAGCTCACTGTTGATTGAAGTTTTGATCTCTTGTCTGAGTTTTAGTGCTTTAGTGCTAAATTTTTCATGTTGTTTTTATTTGGTTGCTATCAAGAACTTCTCGATGTTAGTTCATGGAGCTTGACTCATTTATCTGGTTGGGTTCATCATTTATACCTTGTCTGGGCATTTTGGTCATTTATACGATTTTCATTGAAATTATCCTCCATTTGGCTATTTTCTTTGTGCTTGAGTGCTTATTCGAGCAATTTAGTATTTGTTTCATTTCATGTGTCACAATTTCTCTTCTTAGAAACTTTAATTGAGTTGTAAGCAGCATTTTTAAAACTCGGCTGGGTCCGGGTGACTCTTCTGAGCCCAACGCGCCCTTAAATACCTTTAGGAAAATAAAACAGCATTTTTAAAACTCGGCTGGGTCCGAGTAACTCTTCTGAGCCCAACTCGCCCTTAAATACCTTTAGGAAAATAAAAAATTTGGTATTGTAGTTAAAAAACACTGATAAACGATTTAGAAAAATGTTTCTAAATGATTTTGATGTTTTTTTATGATGATTTATGACACTTTTCCTATCATATGCTTTAATTTTTTTTATTTTTCTGAAATCAAGGTAGTTATCATATTTTTCAATAATTCATCTTCTATATACTTCTTTTCATCTTTTGTGGAGTTTTAGTGATCTTTAGTATTTAGTTTGTTCTGATTTTTAATTAATTTTAACAAATATTTATATTTTCTTTGGATTGTTGTGCCCATTTTGTGCTTGTGCAGGATGTGGCCACGTCTGCTTGGATTTTGCCAAGTAACTCAGCTTGGGTTAGGGCCGAGTCTGAGGTGTGAGCCAAGTTATAGAACCTTGGTTTTAGAGTAAAGAAAAGGAAATTTCATTAAATTTCGTCAATTATGGCTATTATGGTGGGTTCTCTTAATATTAAATTGCATTTTGGTTTTCACATGTTTCATTTATTTTTGTAATTTTGTTTTATTTTATTTTGTTTATCATCCATTTTTTTGGACAAAGGAAGGCAAGGCGTTCTATTGTTTTGACGTTTTGGGAGAAAACTTCTTTTCATCTTTTTTGAATAGTTATAATGAATATGGATAATATGTAGAGCAATTTTTTAGCAAAATTTTCTTCTATAAGTGAAAAAATGTGGGAAATTATGGGACAAAATAAGTGTTATATACTATGTTTTACACGATAATGCAATAAATATGTATTGTCATCGATGTAAACTTTTAAACTTGTAATAATATTAGATCTCAATCACTAGTTATTCTACGCAAGAAAGAGAAAATTTTAAATATTTCAAGAACATTCTGCATACATAACATTAACTCAAACTTAAGTATTGTTACCATAAAAGAAAGTAGACTTGAATCTTGTAAAATTTTTCTGTTTATAAAAAATGTGCTATGAAATAATGAATACTACATTGTTATTTATATATTATCTAGTATACTGTATCATGGAAAATGCACTGTGTATTAAATCATGCTAATGAATGAGTATTATGTGAACACATGAATCAAATGATTATTTTGTTCACTTGTTGAAGGCATATTGTATACACATATTAACCACAAACTTGAACTTCTCTATTCGTGCATGTGTGTGTGTGTGTGTGTCTGTGTTTTCATGCGCATGCACGTGTGCGTGTGTGATCATGCTTGCATTTACTTTCTTCGGAACTAACTTACTCAGTTGATGTCTCATTGGACTCATCTTCTGGTATTAACCAGGCTAGCATTTTTGCATTTGGCAAATGGCTTTTTCTAGAAGTGTTAAACGTCCCATAGAGTGTCTTTTGAAGCAACATTCCTATTCTTCATGGGCCTATGGATACCATGGACATCAACTACCAGAAGTTAGAGATAAAAGTTATAGAAGTCTCTTCTGTCATGGTGACTTTCAAGGCTCTTATGGAGTCCCCATACTGGTGCGAAGATTCAGTGTTGAAGTTTCAGCTTCAGAGCAAATGAATCTTATCAAACAATTGAGGGAAAGGACTAGCGCACCTATAAAAGCCGTAAAATCTGCTCTTGTTGACTGCAAGTGGGACATTGGTGAGATCTTGTTTTGTTTATGTGGATCTCGTCTTCTTACCTTTGATTTATGCTTTTTACACATTCTTTTGTTCTCTTTTTCAAGTTGCTGTTTGTGAAATGTAGAGGCTGCACAAAAGGATTTGAGGAAAAGAGGGATTGTTCTTGCATCTAAGAACGCTTTAAGGACTGCTACTGAAGGTTTACTTGCTCTAGTCCAGGATGAAAAGAAGGCGGTTGTTATTGAGCTTAACTGTGAAACTGACTTTGTTGCTAGGAATGAAATATTTCGATACTTGGTAAGTAAATATATATATTTTTAATTGTTCTTAAGCAGGGTTGTTTTTCTCTATGTACAATTTACCCTCTCTTTCTCTCTCTTGTGTGTGTGGTTTGGGGGTTGAAGGGAGAAGGGTTTGGCATGGCATATTTTCAATGATTGAGAAGGGTTTTGCATAGCATAATTTCAATGTTTTGTGAGCTGGGGTTTTAACTAGTATAAGTTTGAAATTTCTTATCAATATATCTTTTTCGTTACGTATCCATTCGGGATAATTTAGGTGTGGCACCAATAGGAAATAAGATGAGAAAGAGTCGACTTAGGTAGGCTGGCCATGTGTAGGGCCGACCAAGTATAACATCTATTAGGAGGTGCGGGTTAATTCATTGGAAGGACTACAAAATGCAAGGGGTAGGCCCAAAAGGATGTGGTTGGAAGTAGTCCGAAACGATATGTGGACTTATGGCCTCCCTGAGGGTATGACATTTAATAGAGTAGAATGGCGGACCAACATTTGTGTAGCCGACCCCAATTAATTGGGAAAAGGTTATGATGATGATGATTTCTTTTTGGTTAAAGGGGATGTGACTGTAAAAGGCTAGGGTAGCCATCGCCAGAGAGCGGGTTCTAGTCTTGAGAGCGGCCACTTTGTGCATAAGCCAAAGGTTAGGACGTTTTCCAGCCCACCCCTCCTGGGACCCTGCGTAAGCGGGACCAGCACCGGGTTACGGCCTTTTTTTTTTTACGTCTTATCAATTTCGTTTCTCATAGATTGCTAGTTGCAAGTCTTTTACAAATTATGAGTAAATTTCTGCAAGTTCTATGTTGTTTATGGTGCAAACAGCCTGATATTCTGATTAGGCAAACAATTGTAGGCACTGTCTTTGGCAAAAAAGGCCTTGTCAGTTGAAGGTGCTACTTCATCAGTTTTTCTTCCAATTGGACCAGAGATCTTAGAGGTGAGACATTTATTTTTCCTTTATTTTTTGAATGTTAACTTGGGACATCGTGAGAATAGACCTCTAGATGTCATGTTGCCGCACCTACCATCTTGGCCACCTCTGCCTAGAGCCCGGTTGTCTTTTTCTCACATTTCTATGCAAGACATATTTCACCTTTACAGCGGTCTTCATTGAAAGAAATATCGATTAATTTTCTCATGCATTTAGGAATGAGGGAATTTTTCTGCACTCCAATGAGGTGATTTTTTTTTCTCATGGAAGGTGTTGTCTAATGCTTATGAATGGTATTGTATCTACGCTTATGGATGGTAGGGTACTGTTGTGAAATGCTTAATTGTTGTCAATAAAGTGGTCCTTAATTTTGTCCACACTTCAAGATTTAACATCATCCAAGCTTTGAGAATGAAATGCTCCCAGTTGGACCATTCAGACTGGGCTCCAGTACACACAGTCCCATCCTAACTTTATTTTCTGAGAATATGGTTAGAAGCATATATTCTTATCCTTATAGAATTAAGTGGAGAAGCTTTTTACACGAGAAGTGGGCAAAATTACTCCGTTCTGTTGATACTTGTTTATTGAATCGAGCACCTGACTTGTGGGTCTTTGCAATACTCAGTGTTTCAAAAAGCGCTAGGCAGGTCCTAGGCAGTCGGGGGGGGGGGCTTCCAGGCAGGCGCCCAAAACCTGAGTGGCCCAATAGAAATATTTTTTTTTTGGGTTTTCTCTCTTTAAAATAGCCTCTAATGGGTTTTAGGTTTCAAATGAACCTAAAACCCACAATTTTACCTCTTTAGTATTAAAAAAATGATCCAAAAATACCCTCAAGGAGCCGCAGTTCCGCCCATGGGTGGGGCGCAAGCCCTGGGCGGCCGCCTAGGCAGGTTCAGGTGGGCGTCCAAGAAAATCCGCCTAGGCGCTGGGTGGTCCACTTTTTGAAACAATGGCAATACTTATACAAATTATACAATTCAAGTATTCTCAAAAGGGGAAAAAAAAGAAAAGAAAAGAAAAAAGAGTGGGCAAAAATAACAATTTGTTTTGGAAGTATTTATGAAGTACCTTATCTTTTTGTTTTAAGACCTTTCTCTCTGTCATAAAAAAGGATGGCTGAATTGGTATTCTACTCTTCAACTGAATAATTCTTTTTATATGCTTTGTAGTTTTTACATTCCTTTTCTTCATTGCCAGGATTTGTAATACATTTACTATCTTTGGGTTTAAGGACATGAAAATATCTCTGGATCATCCAAAATTTAATGGGGTGACAACAGTAAAGAGTGCAATTACTGAGGTTTCTGCAATGGTGGGGGAAAATGTGAAGCTTAGAAGAGGTTGGGCTTTGTCAAGGTCTTCACATGGTGTTGTCTCTTCATACCTCCATACCAGTCCCCAACCAGGTAACCTTATTCTGAAGTAACTTTAGACATTTTCTGAATGATATACGTTCTTGTGCTTCAGAGGATATTGGTTCTGATAGGATGTAAGGTTTCACCATTCAGGCTTAGGTCGTATTGCTGGAGTTTTAACACTCGAAGCCGAAGATCCCAATGTTGCATTGGATGCTCTTCAACGAGTTGGTTCCCCACTGGCTATGCATATTGTTGCATCAAAGCCTCTTTTCTTATCGAAGGACCTTGTTCCATCAGAAGCATTAGAAAATGAAAGAGACATCTTGAAAACTCAGGTTTGTTAATCATACCTTGTTTCCAAATTGCAATTCACCAAATATGTGATACCTTTGTATGGATTATGGAACAATGTTCATATCAGCCAAGTATTCTGCGCACTGTGGAATACCTCATATTTTTGTTGTTGTTGGAGATAGAGAGCTTTTAATTCCTGTCTGTTCTCCTTTTGAGCAGCCCATTCTATGAAATATTGTTTGAAGAATGATCAGGTAGAACCAGATTTACCAAAACTATGGTAAGACTGCCCTAACAATATCCAATTGATGTGATCCAAGTGGTAGGTCCTACAACCTCTCCAGTGCTATCTGTTGATTTGATGGTGATTGGGCTGGTATCTTTTGTATCCTGGTAGAAGTGGTTCTATATGATTGTTTTTCTTACTGTATACTCTAGAACACATTGTCCATACGTCTCACTAGTCCTGCTTACATGCTTCCTGTTAGTTTTTATGATTTGTAGGTCCTAGTGATAGAAAGAAGCATGGTTCTCATGCTGATTACTCTCTTCTCTAGGAGGTCTGGAGTCATTATAGTGATGGTGTTCTCGTGATCTTGTAGGTCCTAGTAATATAAAGAAGCAGGTGTTCCTATTCTGATCATCAGCTCTTCTCTAATAGGCCTGGAATTATTGTAGTGATGATGTTCTCATGCATGCAGGTGGCAGTCATAGGTTTATATTGCAAAACATGCATCACGATCCTTCCCCCTGGCTGTCTTCCTAGCTTGAGATCCGCAAGGGGGTCTAAGTAGGAAGTTCATGCAGAAGTTATTCTTGTTCCAGCTATATCGAACAATTGCCTGGTCTTTTGCTGAGGCTTTTGGTAGTTTTCTTACTATTAATCACGTTATTGTCTATGTCACATGGTTTTTTCTACTTGGGTGCCATACCTGTGCTGGACCTGTATAAACAAGTATACCCAAAAAGATTCTTCTGGATTCTTCTTGTTGCTTGCTAACCATTGACTACATTTTAGATTCTGGATCTTTTTTCTTTTGTCCTGACTGGACATGAATTTTACAATGAAAGTACATGTGGGTCAGCAAGGTGTATATTTTTTGGCTACTCATCATGAAATGATATATTGGAAAGCAGTTTTGTATTTAATTGGCTCATCATAATACCATCCTGTTTCAGAATCTTGCTATTTATGTTCCGAGGAATCTGATGCCTTGTTCCCGTATCTGGCACTGACATTTACCAGTATCCATGCAACATGAATTATTGTATTATAGTGGATAAACCAATATGGATGGACATCATTGGAAAAGGGAAGTGGAATATGGGTCTTTAACTAGAATCCCTGATGATAAAGGATAAAAATGCCTTTCCACTTTTTAGTCAAAAAGTGGATTGTTTTGTTGGAGGATGCTTGTATGGATTGTGAGTTAAATTGTAACCATTTTAGATAATTTCAGCTTTCCCCGGCATCCCGCCTCTGCTGAAGTTTCTGAAAAAGAAAATGTAAATAAGGAAACATACGAGGAACCAAGAAAATAGAAAAGTTTAATTTACCAGAACAATTGAAGTTCATCAATACCTTTTCTTGAATTTATTCTTTGTATGTCTGAAAGATTTGCACATGATAGTTTTTTTTTGGCAGATCAATGTGGAAAGGGTCGTCTATCTATGGTAGGAATGAAATTCAAGACGTCATATTGTGATACCACTACCTATGCCTTGAGTCCATTCTTAAACATGATGATGGTGCTTTGTTGAGCAATTTGTATGATTGATGAGATTTCATTATGACATGTTTGAATGTTAGAATGCTGATTGTTGTGTTTAGTGATTCATAGAATGTAATGATATTAACATACCTGGCCAGGTTAAAATTATGCACGCTTGTTTACAGTGTTATTGGTTTCCTTGAATTAGTTGCCACTGAAATTTCGTTATAATTGTGTATTAATTATGTTTCACTCTTTGTAATGTCCATTTTCTAAAAACGTTTTGAGTCATTGCATATATGTACGCTACAAATTCTCAACCTTTATCTTTGTTGGAGCAGGCAGCAAATTCAGGAAAACCTCAGGCCGCTATAGAGAAAATGGTGGAAGGACGTTTGAAGAAGTATTTTGAGGATGTTGTATTTTTGGAGCAAAAGTTTGTTATGAATGACAATATCAACATCAAGGTGTGCAAGGAGTCATTTTCAGTTACTTTTAATTACCCCCAAAAATTATTAATTATTGCTTGCCTGTTTGTGTCCACTATGTTTACTCTTTTTGAAATTTTTATCTTGACCTCTCTCTCTCTCCCCACAAACATGCCTGCCCACCATGAACGTATGCCTCTCTCTCTCTCTCTCCCACGAATGTATGTTGAATCTCTCTCTCTCTCTCTCTCTCTCTCTCTCTCTCCACGAACGTATGCTTGCCCACCATGATAAAGCTTGTGGCCTCTGCTTCTATGGATGTCTTCATTCTCCAGTTTGGGGCTGCTAGGAATGGATTAGGTGTTTGGGATCTCCTTTGTATCCCTATTTTCCTTTAACAACTGATATTTCTTAATCATCATTTAAGGTGAACTAACAAGAAAGAAAAATAAAAAGAGGGAAAAGAGCAATTGTTGTATATCATATATATCTTACTTCATTTATAAGCTATAATCTTTATTGTTTGGCTTTATTAGCAATAGTTTTATATCACATATATGTTACTTCATTTAGAAGCTTTAATCTTCGTTATTATTTGGCTTTATTAAACGACTTTACCGACTTATGCTTGCAGTCAGTGCTAAATGATCTATCAAAGGAAGTGGGTTCATCTGTGAAGATTGGGAACTTCTTCAGGATGGAAGTTGGAGGAGCTCAAAGGTACAATTTAGATTCCTCTAGTTTGTTTCATTATCTCTTGATTTCCTAAAGATACTATAGTTGTTAGCCTAGATATGGTATTGCAATGAACGGGTTATTATTCTAAGCCCTCCTTCCTTTCTCTCTCTCTCTCTCTCTCTCTCCCTCCTCCCCCACCCCCACCCCCACCCCCCCTCTTCCTCTTTTCAATGTGGAACTTCACTTCTATGGATGGGACCAAAGTAATCACACTTATATATTTAGTCTGGAGTAGTTTTTATGCATAATGCGTACCATATTTTAGTAGTTAAGAAGGCAAATAGATTCATGCATGACTTATACTACAATTCTCTATTTCTTTTCCTACAGATCAGAACCCTCTACCTCCCCTGAAACTGCAGCTCAAGCAGCATGAGCCTTACTTGCCATAACCCTGGTCAAAGGCATGATTTTTCCGTTGATTCACTCATAAAATTCGAGCATGCGAGCTTCTTTTGCAACCTATAAGAGAGAATAAATAGGATGCATGTATTTTCGCTCATTTTTATGGGTGTAAATTAATTGCATTGCCTTGAGGAATAATGTACAATTGAGAGTCAGGTATTTGTGTCGAGTTCTGCTGGTTTTGTTCTAGCAATTTTTGTCGCTCTTTTAAGTGGTTTAGAGGATTTCTTATATGTGCTTCTTTGACACCATTGGTGACTGGTTCGAAGGTATGTCTTAGAGAGAACTTCGAAGATAAACAATCTGCTTTTCCTTTACAATTAAATACGCTTTGGTAAAAAGCAATTTTCTCCTAAAAAAGGGAGTTTAATGGCAAATACGAAGGTATGTCTCAGAGAGAACTTCGAAGATAAACAATCAGCTTTTCCTTTACAATTAATTATGCTTTGGTAAAAAGCAATTTTCTCCTAAAAAAGGGGGTTTAATGGCAAATAGAAAGGAATTTCTGATTATTAATTCGTGTATTATTTTATTTTGATTAGTATGTTTCGTGATCAACTATCAGCGGAAACTTTTTCGAAATGTATATAATAAGATGATTCACTTTTGGTACTGTCATTATTCACTATTAGATGTGAAATCAAGTGGTTGGGGTTGTGCAATTGATTGGTACAAAGTCCAAGAAAAACATTTTTTGAACTATGATGCAGTTTAAGTTGTTAGATTTCACATCTAATGGTTAAAAGTGATTGTAACTCCATTGTTCTATTGTGCTAAAAGTGATTGTAACCCCATTGTGCCAAAAGTGAATGGGCTCCCAACTTTTCATACATGGAACCGCTTACTTTGCCATTGTATACATAGATTTGTTATGTTTATATATACTGTATTTGGATGTTCTATTCTTTGGATTTCCTTGGATTGTGTTTTATGTTGGATGGGACATGTAAACTCGCCTCGGCATCTGCCTGAGGCTGAGTAACTTGGCTGAGTCGTACTTGGACCGAGCTATTGAAACAGCTATGAATAAAAAAAAGTGCATGTCCAGGCTGACGCCTCATTACATCATTTACATCTTATCCTCATAAAGAGGTTTGAAAAGATGCATTCTTACCATGAACAACCAATATATAGAGGGAAAGTTTATATAGAGCCTACCTCAAAACTTTTACTAGAAGACGTTGTTTTGACATCCAAATCTTATCAAATTGATCATCTCCGTATCAAGATGCATGGACATGAGAAACAATCGGATTTCATGTTTTGAAAATAGTGCATCTTGTAACGTATTTTTGGACGGTCGATTTTCAAGTTTTCATAGATCTGCATGATCTATACTATTTGAAGCTATAAATTTGATAACTAAAGATGAAAATATAATTTAAGGCTCTCACAAAACTTTATAGTATTGAAACCATATTTTTCGACACTATTTAAAGGTGGGCTCTAATTTGATTGTTTATAGCTTCGGCTCTATTCAAACCGCGAACATATATAAATGGGAAAGTATATAATGGGACCATTTACCTTTTGTACAAGGTGGTCACAATTGATCTTGACCGTTGGATATGAAATTGGGTGGCTGCATTTATTTTATTGATCAAGTAAAGAAATTTTCTAGAACTTCTATCGGATTTCACATCAAATGGTTGTAAGTAATTGTGACTTTCTTGTATATAAGGTAAATGATCTCATTGTATACAATTCTTATATAAATTATTCAGAATTAGTAAAAAATTTAGCTCCCACATAAGCACCAATAAACAAATTAAAGAGAAACAGTCCTCCCACATGAACACCAAAAAATAAGTTAGACAGAGCAATGAATGCTTGAGCCTGTTCAAACAAGAAACATAGTAACTACCAAAGAACCAAATATTTAGAGTTCGATAAGAAGTTCACAAGAAATGTTTGATCATCCCGTAAAATGAGTAGGGGATGCATTAGTGAGAAGAATAAAATCAATATGGAATAGAGTATCTTGGAAATAAAAATTTCGGAGTATTTTGACACCATTGGTGACAGTGCTCCTGCTGCCAAAACCTTGAATGCAACATCCGCAACATCAGATCTTCAATTGCAAAGCTATGCATATCTGAGTTGAAGGCCACATCTCAAAATTTAACTTCCCATGATTTATACTGCAAAACCAATTGTATCTACTTAGATCTAATTACTCCATAAAGTACAACCTGATACTAAATAGCATATCCTCAAATTACTGTCGCACAACTGTTGAGCATTTAGATATAACCAACCAGCCACTATTCTCATTCATCGCGAAGACTTTGTTTTCTTTATTTTTTTCATCACAGAAATGTTCAATTAACTAGAAGGGAAAAAAATCCACAGCATGCAAAGGACAAGCATAACAGGAAAAAATATGCCAACAAGATCAGAGAATTTTTTCAAGGTGGCCCATGTTCTTATGCCCAAAGAATTTAGCAGATTGATTTCCTTAAACAATTAATATCGAGGAAGGTGCGGAACATAGGCAATTTATTAGAAAACAACTGAAACACATTATGTTAATCCCTCTTTTGGGAAGGAAAAGCAAAAAACGAATACACTTAAAATGGATACAGTCATAAAGATTAACTTCTTTGTAACCCAACAACAGGCAATAGGCAGATGGGTTTGGTATGAAATGATTAGCTTCCATTTAGAAAGATTCAGGTTATGGCATGTAGAGGAGTACCATTGGGTTTGTGGGCTGTTGCTCTCGCATAAACTGCTTGACGAGTGACCCGAATATTGACGCATTTGAAATATTTTTCGCATGTTGTGCAAGCTTTGGGCTCTCTACTACTACTACTACTATATTGAAGAGCAGTGGTTAGTGACAATCCATGTGCTTCCCTTGAGGGAGTGTTTCGGATCGGCAGGGTAAACTGCCCATCTAGGAAACTGATTTGGATTGGCAATCCAATCAATTCTTCTGGGTAAAAATTTATCTATAAAAATTTTAAAAAATTTAAAATGAAAATTAAAATATTTAAAAAAGAAATGTGGGAATTGGAAACGACCTCATTCCAAGTTCCCACTAGGATTCGGACCGGTTGCCACCGATTCCCGATCTACATCAATCGATTCCACTATGAAATAAGTGCTTTTTTTGAACTCTTCCTAGAAGCTCATCATGTATTAAATATAATAAGGACACTTCCATGAGAGTTGGTGAAAGTTTACCAAACTAACAAGATATGAAGCAACCTAGGTCCTAAAAAAAGAGGATGCACCATTCTTTCTTTTCCTCCATTTCCAGGGTACTATTACAAAGAAATCAGACGATGATAGCCAATATTTCTAGCATAAATTCTAGCTAATGCTACTTTTTTGCCATATAGGAATATAGGCAATTACTAATGCATGAATAAAT